TACCTAAGGGAGGTTATTTTAACATTATAAGTATAGGAAATCCAACATTAATTTCAAAACCGTTCATTATGAGGAGGTGTTCATCCAAGAGAAGTTTACCCAAGAGAAGTTGCACTGTATTACTATACAATACATTGTATTTTGTTATTATTTAATTTTTATCAATAAACATTGAATAGCATTTGTAAAATTCAAATGCTAATATATTTATATAATTTAGTTTACAAGTTTATTTTTCTATTTAGTATTGATTTTATTAATTATAATATACGTACAAATTGTATCAATATTTACTGAAGGCTATTCTACGGTAGTTCATAAGCACTATTAAGTCTAGTAATATAAAAAGTAATTTAAAATCATATGGATTTTATTTGTTAGTAATTTAATGATATTAATTTAATAATTACTTACCCAACAGTATAATTAATTTGGTATTATTAGTTTAAATTAAATAGATTTTACTTTATTTTTCCTTATAAGTTAGAAAATTAAATTAAATGTATTTATTGGCCATTTAAAAATATTATCTATAATACAAAGTTAATATAAATAATAAAAATCTAAATTGGGTTTTAAAATGTTCATTTTAGTTAAAAATTAATTTTTAAATTATCAGGGAAAATACAAAAATTAATTTGACAAACGTGTAAATAATATAGCTAATAATAATAATTATTTATAAAATTGTGGTTTGCCAATAACTATTGTTTATGAGTCATTGCTTACGTTCGGATCACAAACTTACAAAATATCAAGTAAAATATCAAAATTTTAATTAAATTAAAATTATATTATCTTAACTGAAGGTTAGTAAAGCACACATGCATTATTAAATTTAGTAAAATAATTGTAATTTTATATTTACCATAAAAACCGTCATTCGGTTATAATAAACCAAGTAAATAATTTAAGAAATATTGCTAAATAATAATAATTTTAATGTTTAAATAAAACTTGCATTTATTCCACAATTTTTAAAAATAACATAAACTACAAAAATGGATTTAATACACGTGTATTTGATTTTACCCAATGATAAGCATTTAAATAATTACCGGTTTATGATAAATAATCATGTTTAATGAGATTCATATCAATATAAATGTAAAATGTATTTATAAAATTCCTCCCGAGTTATACAGAATCCCGCCGTCGATCACTAGATTAGCGCCCGTTATATACTGGGCGTCGTTTGAGGCCAAAAAGGCCACACCATTGGCCACATCGAGGGGTTGGCCCACCTTTTGCAGCGGCACCCGACCAAACATTTCAGTTACAATCTTTTGTACGAGCGCTGGATCCGCACCGCTATTACCGGAGGCATCAAAGTTGGTCTGGGTCATTCCGGGGCTATAAATTAACAAGCATCATTATAAATTAATAACGTAATCATTTTCTAAATTGAAAGAGAGAGAGAGAGAGAGATTTTACTTGATAGCATTGACTCGTATTCTGGGTCCCAATTCGAGAGCCAGTGTTTTGGTCATAATATCGGCGCCGGCTTTGGATATTGAATAAGCGGTTCCCAATTTCATCTGTCAATTATATGTTAAATCATTACCAGATATAATACAATTGTAATTTATTATAATTATTTCATACCGGAACCAACGCCACGATACTGGATATACTGACAATACTGCCATTCGTTGCCTCTAAATAAGGAACCGCCAAATGGGTTAGCTTTAGATAAGCCCTCAGATTAACCCGTATTAAAGTGTCGAACACTTTCATAAAGTTTGGGTCCTTAATGTGCGAAAACATGCCGACTCCAGCGTTGTTGACCAACACATCTAATTTACCAAATGTTTTTATCGTTTGATTTAGCAAGTTGTTTAAGTCGCCGTTTTTGGTTACATCGGCCACAACGGCTAACGGCTAATAAGATTGATTAATTATTTTTATTACAATTAAATTATTTTTGAAAATAAGATTATAATTTTACCTTGAGTTTTTTAGGTGACAAGTCCTGCACCTCTTGGGCAACACGTTTCACTTGGTCTGCCTTACGTCCGGTGACCACAACATTGGCCCCCAAAGCCGAGAATAGCTTAACAATTCCCTCCCCGATCCCGGAGCTCGAACCCGTCACTAACACTACTTTACCAGTAAAATCGCGTCCATTTCTTGCATTTTTAAATACACTATTATCCACAGTATTTTGGGAGTGAATAATATTTGCATTTAAAGCAAACACACATAATAACACAGAAATGTATGAGAAATTCATTATTATATTAATTTGTAATTAATTGCAAAATTAAAACTTCAAATCAAACTGTTAGGTAAGTCTATGAAAGAAACCTCTGTTTATATACCCTTTCAATTTGGTGTTCAAATATAAACGCTTACACCATGATATTTATTACATGATCGTTTAATTGTAAAATTGTTCATTATAATAACAGGTTAGCTTAAGGTCGGGCATCTTGGTGCAAAGCGAGTCCGGCCACACTCATTTTATTACTATTTTAAAGTACAGTATATTCTGTTTGCTATCAATCATTAATTTACATACAAATGTTAACTATTATTATAAGAAATGTTACATAGTGTTATTGGAATTTTAAAATTTTATTTACAATTAAAATATGATCGTAGTTTTTTATTTGATTATAAAATATTAATAATACACTTATTATTTCCTATTATAATAAGGAAATATTAGGATAAAATTACTGATAAATAAAATCTTATTTATTGAAGGTTATAAAAGTCCACGTGCACTAACAAAAGTGTTAAATTTAAAATGTTATTTTAATCTATTTGCACCCAATCCAAATGCTGTCATTCACTCATTTCACACAACCATGTAATTATTTTGACAGCGTACTCATGATTATAATTTAAATCACAATATTGTGCATTTTATTTATAGATTACAATTTATATTAATTTTTATTCAATTAATATAATTTAAGGGTTACGAACTTCTGGTTGTTATAAATATTTTATTTATGTTGCTTTAAAAATATTAAATAAAATTCAGAAATTTGATCATTATGTTTGTATATTTGTAACTTCAGTTTAGCGACAATTAAAGTGTTAATTTATGTTTTTGCGGGCATATTATGGACGACTCCGCCGTCAATCACTAGATTAGCGCCGGTTATAAAGTTGGCGTCACTCGAGGCTAAGAATACGACCGCTCGGGCCATATCCAGGGGATGGCCCACACGTTTCAATGGTGTAGACGCTATGAACCGGCTCACAGTATCTGCATTTATACTGGGATTCTCATGGTAGAAGTTGGTAAATGTCACTCCTGGGCTATTAGAGTAGGATATTATATAATTATGAACATGATAGTACTTTTAAATTTTGATCTAATACTTAATAACATTAATCCTGATTTTGGGGCCCAATTCCAGAGCCAGTGATTTAGACATCATATCAATGGCTGCTTTCGAGACGTCGTAAGACATACCAATCATTGACTTTATGTGGCACAATGTGTGTAACATTATTATTAAATCAAATTAATTAATTAACATGTTAATATTATTTAGTATTATTAGTTAATATTAACTTAATGACTACAACTAACCGGGGTCAATGCAGCAATACTAGACATGCTAATAATGGTACCATTTGTTTGATCCAAATAAGGAACAGACAACTGGATTAACTCCAGATATGCTCTCAAATTGACGGCAATAGTGGTGTCAAACACTTGCATGAGTTTTGGGTCTCGTATACCCGCGTATTGACCAAAACCGGCGTTATTGACCAACACATCTAATTTACCGTAAGCTTTGATTGTCTCGTCCAGCAGTCTCTTTAGATCATCACTTTTACCCACATCTGCCACCACTTCCAGAGGCTATTCAAGAAAACAATATATTTGTTAATCAAATGTTGCTTTATAAGTGAATTTAAAACCAGATCATTATGATATTTAAATTAAATATCTAGATAATAAACAATTATTACTAATAAATGTTATCACATATTTAAGTTATTAATATACTGTATTAAATAGTAATAGTAATTTTATTAAAAATATAAATACCACAATTACAGACCTGTAGTTTCTGTGGCGACAAATCCTGAGCTTCTTTGGCCACACGACTGACCTCTTGGCTCTTCCGTCCGGTGACCTGTTGTGACCGCGGGTTATCACTTTTGTCAAACTGTTGACGGAGTGGCTACGGTCTCGACCTCGGTCAACAGTTGTGATGAAAAGGGCACTTTAGTATGCCAAAAAAGTGTGGAAATTTGAGCAGTATACTTATAGCATTACAAACGCCTGAATATAATATGATTGCTATGAATAGCAAACGTATTGTATATAATTTGCACATAACTAGATTTATATAAAACAAAACAATTTAAATTTTAAAATCAACAAACAATTTGAAATTATTCAATTACTGTAATTCAGTTTTTATATAAATAAATCATTGTAAATTTAGGCACATACATAGATGCTTTTATACTTTGTTTAAATTACTTTTATAAAATAAACAAATTGAGAAATCTAGTATTTGGCATTATTTTATTATAATTCAGTTTTTATATAAATAAATCATTGTAAATTTAGGCACATACATAGATGCTTTTATACTTTGTTTAAATTACTTTTATAAAATAAACAAATTGAGAAATCTAGTATTTGGCATTATTTTATTATGATCAAATTATTGTAATTATTTATGCCATAATTCATTAATTAAGACAATTAATCATTTTTTGAACAAATATAATTGCATGTTACATATTGTAAATGCATTATTACTGATATTAATATATAATTATGATTTCAAGGCTTTTAAATTCAATTGACAAATAAAATTAATATACAATAAACACATTTAAACAATAGTTAAGCACACTTTAATGATGTCTTGTTTAAATGTTAATTAATAAAAATTTTAAAATAGTATTTGTACATTTATAGATGCATGCACGTGTTGTACAATTTGTATTAGCAAAAATAATAGACATATGTAAATAACCCCATCATGGTCCACAATTTAAACACTTAATTGTTCAGAACAAGTATTAATATACGATTTAATATTATCTGTGTTTATTCAATCAGGGTTATAACAATTGTTTTGAACAAAATGTTCAAATGTTTGTAAAATAAATACAAAGTTATTTTATTTTATCTTGTAATTAATAAAATTTATAAAGCTAATTTAAAAAATAAATTAACATTATCAAACTTAGAAATAAAGTATTCGTTTGAAACCTATTGTGTGTTTCCCAAACGAAAAAATATCAGACGTTAGACGAAGTTATTACTATATGAAACACTGCTGTATCCGCAAATCCATAAAAATAATAAAAATTTGCTGAGATAAACAGCCTATGTAATTTTTATATTAATTTACAGTATATTGCAATATATTGTCCCCAATTCCGTTTAAGTAAAATTTTAAAAATGTTAAATTTAATATACCTGTATTGTAATTAACATAATAAAAATTGACATTAAATTTTTTATCACGTTTTTATTACTTAATTAATTAAATTACTTTAACAGATATATTATCAAAATGTTAATATAAAACATTTATCATATGGTTATGGACTGGAAAGACCGCCGGCATTATAAACAAGGCCGCCGTCAACCACCAGATTAGCCGCAGTTATAAAACTGGCCTCTTTTGAAGCCAGAAAAACAACCGCTCGGGCGATATCCAGGGGTACGCCCGGCCTTTTTAACGGCGTCCGAGCGATTACCTCCTTGTCTATCTTGGTAATCACATCGGGGTCAGTGTGGTTGATAAAATTGGTCAATATTAACCCCGGACTATTGGATGGTATGAAAAATAAAGCATTTATTAATTACTTATAATTCAAAATGTTTAAAATATTTAAATACTTAATAGTGTTGACACGAATCCTGGGGCCCAACTCCAGGGCCAGTGTTCTGGTCATCATATCGACACCTGTTTTGGCCACTTCGTACGCCAGACCTCCTGGGGTCTAAATTAAATTTAAATGTACGTGTAATTAACCATGGTAATAATTATTACAAAGTGTACTTCATGGTTATATAAAATACCGGTAATGTTGATGAAGTACTGGATATACTAATGATAGTGCCATTGGTTTTGTCCAAATAAGGGACCGCCAAATGGGTTAACTCGAGATATGCCCTGAGATTGAGTGCCACCGACTGATCAAATTTGGTCAAAAAATCTGGCGCCCGAAATGGCCCGTAAAAGCCGGCGCCGGCGTTGTTTACCAGTATATCCAGTTTGCCGTAAGTATCGATAGTTTTGCTTATCAAACGGTTTAAATCAGCAGATTTAGTCACATCTGCCACTATAGCCAATGGCTGTTATAATATTAATAATAATTTATGTTAATAAATATGTCATATAATAAAATAAGCCTTAATATCCTTAAATAATGCTTTAACTGTTAAAGTTTAACGTATATCATAAAATATATAACCTAATACATACAGGTTAGGCAAATAAATTTTATTTTTTGTAATAATATGATTTTTCAAATTATACTATATAATTTAAATAAAACCTTAGGTTTATTACTAAACATTTGAATGTAATAATTATTTTAAGAGTTTTACCTTTAATTTCAATGGTGACAATTCCTGGGCCTCTTCAGCCACGCGTTGCACTTCATTGGCCTTCCGTCCGGTGACCACAACATTGGCGCCCAATCGGGAGAACAGTTTGACAATTCCCTCACCGATGCCAGAGCTGGAGCCCGTTGTCAACACTACTTTGCCGGTAAAGTTTCGACCCAAACCTTCTCGACTATAATCTTCGTCATCCAAATCGTAATAGATGTCAGACTTTACTATCGATACGAATAGTACCACCGCTAGTAAAGAGCACAATGTTTTCATCATGTTTATAAATGTTAATATAATTTTATTTGAGTATGGTAATTGAAGTTAATTAATACTTTTAATTAAAAATATATTTTTTTGTCTCTTTTTATACTTTTATTTGTTGGGCACAAATGTATACATAGATAATCCGTGTTGCTAACCTTGCTAAGTCGTGATGCTCCAAAACGGCCTTGATTATCTATCAATATACAATCATATAATATACCTGTAGATTAATCAATTAAATTAAGCAATTATAATGTAGGATATTTACTAGGGTTGGCAATATACAAAATTTGTATTATACAATTCTATTATTCCTTGTATTATTCCTTGTATAATACAAAGCAAGATTTGCTTTTTTGTATAATACAAAAGTGGTACAGCGCCACCTATTGGTAAAATATTGTAAACACGTCAAAACACCTGAAAATTGTTTGAAAAATCAATTGAATCAACCGTTCTATGTGATACAATTATTAATTAGAACAATATAACATGTATAGTTAATAAGATAAATGCATTAAAGCTGTTTAATTTTTGTTTTTAAAACATATTAATTTTTTCCCCATAGTAAGTAAAAATACAAGTATAATACAAGGATTATTGTATTATACATTGTATAATACAAAGCTTTGAAAATTTTTTGTATTATTCCAACCCTAATATTTACTATTAAGTTGATCTACTGTATGCACTCAATAAACGCCCATAATAAGTATTTGATAAAATTTTAAAAATCGTTAAATGTGTATCGTTAATGTTTGCTTTTATTGATAAATATGAGTGCCATTAATACTTGTACGCGTATTTTGAGCACAAATTTAGTACACCCGGACTCACTTACAACGATCTTTGTTAGTACTTATCATAGGTATTACAAATGATTATGATTGATTTATAAAATAGGCAATAGATACATTGTAATTGTAACATGTAAACATGAACAAGGTGCATCACATGCCTGTAGAGCGCACTGTATGAACCCATTGATCTGATCTGATTTCTGGCCTTTTATTTGTAAGGGATATTTGCATTAATACCAATCACCTAACTATCTTTGTGGGTCCTATATTTGTGATTAAGTTATTATATCAATGCAATAACGATAATATTAACAATTAGTTATGTTTACGAAATCAATTGTTTTGCACTAATAATCATTTGTGATAAGTGCTAATTGGGAGCGTTTAGACTATATTTGTGCTCAAAATACATGTACAAATATTGATGGCACTTATAATTATCAACATTGGCATGTGCAAACAATGTATACACAGTTACTTCATTTTATTGTATTTTCTAAAATGGATACATACCGTAGTTAATAATTCATTTGTTATTGTACTATGATGACTTTCTAAGCTTTCCTACAAAATTCTGGCATTAAAATTAAAATATGATATGAAAATAATTAAATATTAAAGCTATTGATTGAAACGATAATATCATTTCATATTATGATAAACATAACAAATATTATCGTTATTACATTAATATTATCGTAATTGTATGATAAACTACTGCATACATACTTTGATAGAATAGATTTTATAATATATTATATAAATTCAGTAAAAAATTTTATTGATATTTTATTTGAACAACAATTGTGTTAATATATAATTAATTTTAGGAAAGATTATAAAGCTTATAGATAACAATATGATAACAAAATCTACATTTTTGTACATTAAGTCTAGATTTTCAATAATTAAATGTCTAATACTATCGCTATTTGCGTATCAAATATATTACGAAACTGACAATTACTTAAGTTATGAAGTGATCAATGATTTAACGTTTGACAGTTACTGAAGGTAAATATATTTAGCGACTTATTATATATATAGCAATATATAATATAAGTTGTGGAAAAAAGAAAATGCGCTTTTATAGTGTGAACGTAAATTAATTATTTCTCCAGTAAATGATGAGCCCAGTTTATAAATTATGTTCTCGTGTAAAAATATAATAATGTAAGATCATTTTACTGTAAACAAAAATTTTGTAGCATTTTCCATTGATGACCAGCAAATCTCCAAACATAACCAATTTTCAACATTAATTTTGTAGGAATTTAATTATGTTGTATTTTACAAAATTGTTCCCGGAAAAATCAAAACTATATATGATAAAAATTGTTTAATTGAGTATCAATGATTGTGATAGTTAAAAATTTTTAACGACTAGGATTATCGCAGTAATACCCAGCTAATGCTGACCACCCGTCGGTAGTGGTCAAACTGATATGGGAGACCGATGTCAAAAATATCTGCCTAAATACGTTCATACAGTGGAGATGCGGGATCAGCGTGACCACCTCTGAGTTTAAAAATAGAGAACATATGACCAAATTCACTTTAAAATAGAGAACAAATAGAGAACACATATTTTACGTTAATTTTTCTTCTAAATTTAAAAATCGAGTTTATTTAATACTAATGTTGAAGTAAAATTTATTGTGTAAAGTGTATTAAAAAATGAC